GTATTACCGGCTTATGGTGACTCAATTGCTGTTAAATGAATAGTCCAGATTTGATGCTCACAACTTCTTTATTCTAAGCAACAACATGGCTGGGGATTTGCCGGAAGGAATGTGACGGCACCTTTTTCCTCTATTAATTTCCACTGAGGGGTGAGTATCGACTCCCCGAATGTCGCCAGCTTCTAATCCACTTTAATTACTTGGTTGTAATTCCGTTCTTGTGAGGGCTGATGAGTGTGGTTCGCTCTGTGTCCAATTCCAAAAAGAAAGAAATATCTGTCTAGCCTCGTGGTATGTCATCAACGATTCTTTTATCGTATATCAGTGTGGCTGTTTTTATAGTGGCCATGTCAATTCGTGTCTATACCGATATGATGGTTCGTGTCTTGAATAACTATTGGTTACGTACATTCATCTCCTCTATACTCCCTTATATTTTTTTCCAAAGCCTGGATCCGTTTTGGAAAATTTTCCCAATATGCACTTAACACAACTGTTTTGTAAAGCAATACGCCGACGATTGCTCGATCATGGCGACTGGGAATGGAACTGATGACTTGTGTTCGATAGCAAACGGGTATCTCTCCGAGTTTTCTCGCTTCTTCACTGCGAAGTGTCTAGCCCTCTCCCCTACGAAATCCTCTGCGACCTTGTTCACCACCTGGATGAAGGAGGCCAGGCTACCGCTCGGAATTCACGTCGATGATACACCAATTCCGACGGTGAATAACCCCAAAATACTCGGAGTAACATTCGACAGCCTGCTCTCCTTCTCTGCGCACGCAACCGCTATTGTCAATAAAGTACAGAGCCGCAACAAGGTCCTCAAGTCGCTAGCCGGCAGTACTTGGGGAAAAGACAAAGAAACGTTGCTGGCAACATACAAGGCAATAGGCCGGCCGGTTTTAAACTACGCAGCACCAGTGTGGTCGCCGGGGACTAGTAGGACGCAGTGGATGAAGCTACAGATAGCACAGAACACCGCACTCAGGACAGCGACTGGATGCCTCCTGATGTGGCCAGAACACCACCTTCATGACGAGGCAAAAATGCTCCCGGTCAAGGAGCATAATATAATGCTCTGCAAGCAGTTTCTGATTGGGAGCCACAGATGTGGCCACCCAAGCAGACAGCTGCTTGCAGAGGAGCCCTCGCCTTGGCACGTCAGGAGGCATCTATACGAACTGAAGGACGAAGTCCAGAGGTTCATTATGCAGCCTCTGGACCCGTCAGCATACCTACTGGCCCTGAACGGCATTCACAGGGAGTCAGTCTCGAGTTATGTAGACTCAAGACCTGTGAATGCCGTTCTAGGCACACAACCACCGGACATTGACGAGACGGAGCTTCATCTGCCTCGTGAGACAAGAACCACAATAGCCCAACTTCGCTCTGGCTACTGCAGCAGGTTAAACTCATACCTGACCAGACTGAACGCGGATGTGCCAAATGAGTGTCCGGCATGTGGAGAGACCCCTCATGACTCGAAACATCTCTTCGCATGCCCGGAAAACCCGACAACCCTAATGGCTTTGTCCCTGTGGACCGACCCAGTGGAGGCTGCACGCTTCCAAGGGCTGCCGTTAGTGGAACTTGACGACAATGGCTGAGATATCAACCGATCTGGGCGGGGTTGTTGTAGCCGCTACAACAACAACAACAACAACAACAACGACTATGAAATTCTTTAATTCCAAAAATTAAAATTTTACTTTCACAACATACAAGTTAGAACGGCGCACAGTGGGGTAATCGACCCAGAAAGTGGAGATCAATTCATACGTACATTTAATTTAAAATATTTTGATGTATTTGTATAGCTAGCACCAAATGAAGTAAAAAAAAGACAAATCCGAAAATAGTTTAGAGGAATTTTTTTTTACGTAGGATTATAAAGCGTTACCAAGGAGCGAGATAAGTTAAAATGTAGTTTTTACTCCCATAAATACTTTTTATTATTAATGATAGTTTGTTAAAATCCTAATCATCATTAATTACAAGTTAAACTCCTCGTCTATCATTATAATAATTATCCTCATCATTATCTTCATTACTATTTTCATCATCAACATCACCACATCATCACCTTTTTAGGTAATTTTTTATATGATAATGAATAGGAATTGTAAAAATTTTCTCTTCAACAATTATCTACATGTTTTTGTTAGGCCTAGAAAGCATTTAAGAATATATAACCTTTAATAAAAATGATCATCATTTTCGCTGGCGTCATTGTCATCACTATCAACAGCTTCATCACCCCTATAAGGCTGCATAATTAACAACTGTTGTGCTTCTTTCGGCAAATCCTGCAATTTTTTTGGGGTAGTTTTCTCATACTTGATACAACAGGGTCGGAACTAATCAAAAGTCTATTTAATATATCTTCATTCGTCATTTTTCTGTTGCACTTGCGAGAAAAATGTTCTCTGTAGCTCTTCAAATCTTTGGCTCGCGCCTCTAGAGCTTCTTCTGACAATTGACCGATAGGTAACAAAGCGTGGGATATTATCTCTGGCCCATGGATGAAATATTTGTGGAGTGTTGGGGGCATTTAATACCATGGGTAACATTTAAAAAAGAAATTCGCTGTATTTAAAGCGTAGTTGCGAAACTTGTCCACCTCGATTTGATGGCCACTAGAATCAGCTATAATAATTGTGTGCATCATTTTAATTAAATTGAGGTCAATCTTTGTTATTATTGCTGACATCTCGGCATTTTGAAAGAAACGCCTCGCAGTATTGCCATCATTAGAGGTCCCGAAGCCAGGCATTTGTTGGTCAACAATTAGTCCAATTGTATCTTTAAATTCCTTCTGAATACGTGCTTTATTTTGAGAAACTAAAAGTTTCTCATTTTCCGACCGTGCTTGCCACTTTTTTATCAGCAGTTTGTAGGAAATATGGAGTAGACATTCAAAAAACTAATCCACCCGTGAAGTATTGGAAAGCCTAAATTTTAGGTTTTCGGTTTTTACAGGCCTTTCATCACAGTATCAATTTCGTTTAATTCTTTAGAAGTAGCGCCACATAAGTAACATTTTTGTGTTGATGTTGTTTCGGTTAAAGCGTTTCATACTTTACCATCAACCATAGCCAAAAATAGATATGTACATAAATGTATACATACTTTCTTTGATACATGCAAGTACTAAAACTTTCGCCTTGGAAACAAAACAGTATTTAGCCTACTTTTGATAATAGACGTTATGCCGTATGTAGGGTATAAAAAAAAACAGTAATTGAGCAAACAACGAACGTGGACAATAATTTGTATGCTTTGTACTTAGTTTTCACTTGTTATATTTGGTTTTGTTCTTCATCGAGAATTTCATGTATATTTCACCAACGAGGTTATATTATATAAATCGATATACTGAAAAAGTGTGCAGACATGCCGGAACATTTTCTTTACAGAATGACACTATAATGTCCAAGGTATATGTAAATGATTACACTTTTGCTTGATCGTACCTACTTATCAACTATATGTCTACGTATATAGCCAAAAACCCCTTATTTTTACGCTTACGATAAAAAAATAAAATAACCATAGTAAAAGAAACTAAAATCACTTTGTATTGCCTAAATACCTGATCAAGAAGGTTCCATTGCCGTTTTTGATGTATCTTTAAAGAAATCTCAGATATAACTTGGAAATTTGAAATATTAAATCACGTTTTTCACTTTGAGAGTATATTGCAAGAAAACGGTAAATTTTTGGGCAAATATTTGATTTCATAGTGATGTAGAATTTTATCTACTTTCATTTGGTACTAAACCCTTCATTGTATTTTGAAATTCATTTTTTGAATTAATTCGCAATATCGAAGGTACCCTCGAGATATATAACCATATAGTCTGATATGGAGGGTTCCCTATTACCCAAAAAACACTCAGGTAAACTTTATCATGAATTTCGTAATTTGGACTTTCGGCCAGCTTTTAAGAGTCAAATGCCCTTATGTGCGTCGGTGGCTGGTTGAACCATAAGTTTTATAATATTAGGTGTGTACTCGTATTGAGAGGACAAACTTCTCCAGCAGAAAAAGTTCTGAGAACTTAGCAGCATTCGCTCTCAAAGAGACGAAATATCAACAGAAGTACGAGAACGCAAAATTTGCAAAAACTTGCAACCTTCGAAACAGCTGATTAATGCACAGTTGCCACTGCTGATTAATTTGGCAATTTATTTTCTGCTTGGTACATTTTCTCCAGATTTGGCATTTTATGCAATTGAATAGTTTTGGATAAGAAACACCTTTTTAAAATACAAATTAATTATATCGGAGTGAATAAGTTATTTTTTTCATAATTATTTGTGATATCACATGGTGACGCATTCAAAAACAAGAGTATCTCCTCCAAACACCCATCATTGATCAAAAAAAAAAATGTAATAGATATAGCTACAGATGTAGCTTTAAAATTATAAAATTTTCATTTCAACAATCAACCTACCAAAACCGAAACCTTCAGCAAAAAACATTTCAGCATGCTGCATTTAAATCTACTTTAGTATATTTAAAGGAAAATTATGGTACAAACGAAAAATGTCATACGGCAACCATAGTCAGCACACACTAAAGTAAACAACCTGGAGATTAGTAGCAAATTAACGAAAAATAAACTCAACAAACGTTGTACTTATCAAATTTACTCACCTTTTCGTTGTATACTAGCATTAATAACAAAATTTGCAATAAATAACTCGAAAAGGCCATATTTTCTTTTGTTTATTTACAAGCATGTGTTTGTGATCAGCTGATTCTCTTGCAAGTTTTAGCTGGGAAAAATTTTTCCAGCAGAAATTTGGAACTCGCTATCACATTTTGCTCTCTCAATTTCCCCTACTTTACAAGTTTTTTGGGTACGAGAACGCAAAACCAGTAAAAGTTTTCTAAAACTGTAGATAGTTGGGCGCACGAGTACACTCCTATTTGCATGTAATTGTATTGCCATTTTTTACATATGTGTATATTATTCTATATTTGACAGGAAAGAAACCCTTTTCCCAAATGCTGAAACGTCGGAACAGTTATTTAATGGAATTCCCTTCGGCGAGTTACCCGTTTGTAACATACGTGTATCTCCAAATAACACTATAATTAGTGTCACCGATAACAAGGGTATCTCTCGACTAATCCGTTCCTGTGGCATTGAGGGTTTTAAAAATACTCGAAAAGGTACAAATATTGCAGCTCAAGCTACTGCAATAACTATAAGTGAAGTGAGTGAAAGATATACCTTGAGCGATTTTGCAATATAAATATTTCTTATTTATTTACAGAAAGCTATAGAGCTAGGTTGGAAAACTGTTCGGGTAAAAGTGCGTGGACTGGGACCTGGTCGAATGGTAACAACGCTTTTTATATCTTATTTATAAATATCGTTACCCAAACGGGATAATGTGTCACGACGAGGAAAAATCGATGTAGTTTCCCATTATCTGTCAGTCTGCATAAAAAATTTAATTTTGAAAAAATGGACTTGGCACCTTTTCATCTTTAGGTACCGATATACTATACATACGTTGACAGATTTCTGTGGACTAAAATTGTGACATTTCTAAAGCATCGAATAGAAGCATACAATTTTGTTTTTTGACAGTTGTTTCTCTCGCACCGCTCCCTTAGCAGTGGCACCGTGTTGCTTCTTTGCAAATTTACTTGGAAAAGTGTAGCTTTAATGTGAAAAAGAATTATACGTTTTTGTACAATATGTATATTTGTATATACATATAAAGCACATTTAACTGATGAAAACAAAAAATTGCTTTTAAATTCGATGTTTACATAAAACTCATAGTAGTTTTATTTTAATTTTGAGCCCTTTTTCACTTTTTATACCGCTAAATAGCACATAAATTACTTAATTCATGTATATATATTAATATTTCGTATAAAATGCAAAATTTCCTGCAAATACATTAATATTTACAAAAGGAATTTCAGTACTAAGTGCCTACTTTTCTACTACCATTTTCACAACAAGGGATTTCATTCTTCCCCTTTCTCTGTTCTTCGTAAATGCGACCTGTTGTAAGGGAGTGTCAAACCGCGACTGTCAATAATTATCTAACCTTTAATTATTAAATCATGAGCTGGAATCACACGATTGCCCAAATGAACCAATCTGGCACAATGTTATTGTTCTGAATTAATTCAAATTCTGTGCAGCCACACGATTGCCTCATTTCATACAATTGTTGTTGTTGTTGTTGTAGCGGCTACATCCGCATTTAACCTACACAGGTAGGAATTTAGCCTGCTGCAGTAGCCAGAGCGAAGTTGGGCTATTGTTGTTCTGCTCTCCCGAGGCAGATGGAGCTCCGTCGCGTCAATGTCCGGTGTTTGTGTGCCTAGAACGGCATTCACAGGTCTTGTGGGTCTACATAACTCGAGACTGCGTCCTTGTGAATGCCGTTCAGGGCCTGTCTGTGAGCTGACGGGTCTAGAGGCTGCTTGATGAACCTCTGGACCTCGTCCGTCAGTTCATATAGATGCCTCCTGACGTGCCTCGGCGAGGGCTCCTCTGCAAGCAGCGGTCTATTTGGGTGGCCACATCTGTGGCTCCCAACAAGAAACTGTTTGCAGAGTATCGTGTTGTGCTCCCTAATTGGGAGCATTTTCGCCTCATCGTGGAGGTGGTGTTCTGGTGACATCAGGAGGTATCCGGTCGCTGTCCTAAGTGCTGTATTTTGTACCGTCTGCAGCTTCGTCCACTGCGTCCTACTAGTCTCCGGCGACCACACTGGTGCTGCGTAGTTTAAAACCGGCCGGCCTATTGCCTTGTATGTTGCCAGCAACGTTTTTTTGTCTTTGCCCCAAGTACTGCCGGATGGCGACTTGAGGACCTTGTTGCGGCTCTGTTCTTTATTGACAATAGCGGTTGCGTGCGCTTAGACGGAGAGCAGGCTGTCGAATGTTACTCCGAGTATTTTAGGATTATTCACCGTCGGAATTGGTGTGTCATCGACGTGAATTCCTAGCGTTAGCCTGACCTCCTTCGTCCAGGTTGGAACAGGGTCGCAGAGGATTTCGTAGGGGGAGGGCTAGACACTTTGCAGTGAAGAAGCGAGAAAGTTCAGAGAGATATCCGTTTACTTTCGAACACAGGTCATCAATTCCATTCCCAGTCGCCATGATCGAGCAATCGTCGGCGTAAGAGACAATCGAGACTCCCTCTGGTGGTTGAGGGAGCTTTGAAATGTAAAAGTTAAACAGTAGTGGGGAAAGGACACCACCCTTGATTTGCTTGACCTTGGTTTGCCGGTCCAAACAGGAATCTTTATTTACGGTTGATGGATAGCTCGTTTCCAATGGATGGTGGCAAGAAAGTGGCTGACTTCCGTGTAATGATTTTGTATTACCGGCTTATGGTGACTCAATTGCTGTTAAATGAGTAGTCCAGATTTGATGCTCACAAGTTCTTTATTCTACGCAACAACATGGCTGGGGATTTGCCGGAAGGAATGTGACGGCATCTTTTGCCTCTATTTATTTCCACTCAGTTATCGACTCCCCGAATGTCGCCAGCTTTTAATACAAGCTTTTAATCCACTTTAATTACTTGGTTGTAATTCCGTTCTTGCGAGGGCTGATGAGTGTGGTTCGCTCCGTATCCAATTCCAAAAAGAAAAATATTTTTCTAGCCTCTTGGTATGTGACCACCGATTCTTTTATCGTAAGTCAGTGTGGGCGTTTTCATAGTGGCCATGTCAATTCGTGTCTATACTGATATAATGGTTCGTGTCTTGAATAACTATTGGTTACGTACATTCATCTGGCAATCCCCCACATTTTGAAGTTTAGGTTTGACAGTTTCGTTATGTTTACATTTCTCATAATCGTTCTTATGTCTATTATTTGGGCAATAAAAAATAATAGATCATTATCCCCCTTCTCATCTTCAGCGACACGTTACCTCTTTTTTTTCGTATTTAGTTTCAGTACGCATTACATAAGCTACGGTAGATGAAAGGCATTGGTAAATGATTTGGTGATGAATCTTCTCTTGTTTGCTTTGATCGATTTACTAGCAATGTACTGAGGATATAATATAACAAAACTAAACTTAATTAATTTATTCCAGCCGGGTACCCTGTAATAAGGCAGAATGAATGGAGTATGGAGGCCCGCCATATATTCATCGAAATTCTTGAGAAGGCAAATGTACTGAATGTGTTAACGTGTTGTGATTAAATCGGCGGAATAATTGCCAAGCACTCGGTGTTTAGCATCGATCAGTTCATATGAATTCGAACCAAGTTTCCGTGAAACATAGGCTCTAATTTTTGGTGGGGCTAGTTTTTGTGCATAGCCCCCTCCGGCCACGGACTGTTTAGGATTGGGAATGTACACTTCCGAGCCTATCTCGAAATGGCGTTCTCTTTTGCGGGTAAATGCTCGTTGCGCGGTTTGTTGATATTGTTCGAACTGTTTGTCTCGAATTTCATCAGCCAGAACTTTACGCTGTTCCACATCCTGTGTATGGTATGGATTTACATCCAATAATAATTTATATTCGTTTCCATCTTTCACATATTCACGACCAGTGTGCAGGAAATATGGCGTGTAGCCCGTGGCTGAATGCACTGAAGTGTTAATATCATGAATAACACGAGAAAGATGGTTTTCCCAGGAGGAATGTTCAAGAAGGTCAGCCATGTGAGCACGTAATCCAAGTTTAATGCTTTTGTTTGTCGCCTCGACCTGATTGGCTTGTGGATGGTACAAAGGCGTTTTCATGTGTTTGATGTTATAATCGGCGCAAAGCTGTGCGAAAGTTTGACTGATGAATTGAGTACCATTATCTGATATAATGAGTTCGGGGCAGCCATTCACCGTGAATATATGTTGAAGATAATTGACTACGGATATGGTGTTTGCATTTTGCATGGGCTGCGCCCAGATATATCGCGAGTAAAAGTCGGTGGCTACGAAGATCCATTGTATACGATTTTTAGACATGGGTAGCTTACCGACGAAGTCAATCGATAATTGCCTACCCGGTCGTTTTGGTTCTCTATATTTAATTTAATTTTAATTTATTTTTTAATTTATTAATGCTTAACGCTTAACGCCAATCGGCTTTGTACTA